CTTTTTTTAAATTAATTTGTCTCACCATGAACAAACCAAAACATCATCACCAGATGTTGATGTTTTCGCGTATTTTAAATATAACGGGAGGAAATTTGCCAGGAAAAATATCCTCAAAATGTCTTTAACCAACGAGTTATCACTCTTTAAATATCAATTTCTCTGCTCTCACTGAATCCTTTTCCTGAATCTCTGATACAATGATGGGTTTGCTGTGTGTATGAAAGTTTCTTCAAATGTTTATTTGTATTTTCATGGCACTGTTAGAGAGCATTATAAAAGGTAGGGGGATTGTATTTAATCTTGTGAGACCAGCTGGAGCAGTGCGCGCTGTCGCTCAAAGTAATGGGATTTGGATGACCTTTGCTTTCTGAAACACTGGGAAATAAATGATTGGGCTAACAGTACACACATTAAAACATTCAACAAGCAACAGGATGATTTGAGGATCATCCTGTTAAGTCTTATATAGGGAATAACCTTTCGGCAGGAAACAACCTCCCTGATTTACATGCTCTTAACACATTTTCAGGGAAGGTCCTTTCGTTTTAGTAAAGCCTTCTTGTCATCCTCTTGTGATGTGATTGTCTAACATCTAATCACATTATCTAATACCCTTCCATTACTCTCTCAAGTCAAGACATGGATCAGATGTGCGGCCTGGTCCTTAACGTGTGTGAAGGCTCATCAGGCAGAGAGCATGCAGTCCTGCATGACAAGTCACCACAAAGCCAAACCACACTTAACCAAAACACATACACGGCACTTGATCCTTCCAGTCTTATCTTTAGATTTGCTCCTCCGCTTACCCTTAGGATAAAGTTGTTATACAATCTCGTCAATTTAAATAAAAGGAACGTTGTTATGAAAAACAGCTTTGGATTAACACAGTGACCAGAGCACCTGTTGCTCTCCTGCTGAAGCGTAACAAGGTTACAATACAGAGTGATTAAACAGTGATTCATTTAGTACACACACACCTGTGCTAGAGTACACTGCCGCTCAATGAATTTCTTCATAACCATTTGCAAGGCTTTCCAGGTGCTGCGTACTGTAATTGTGTTAAATTGAAGGCAGTGATGTACAGTACAGTGACTCCAGTTTTGTGTTTCACTTCAGGGCTTCAACATAAAGAGTGTTGCCTCTCATGGCATGAAACTCAATGTTTGGGACATTGGAGGACAAAGGAAGATCAGGCCTTTTTGGAAAAAGTACCTGGAAAACACAGACCTGTTGGTGAGTGAATAAACGTTTTAATCAGTTCAACATTTTCAACATTCTCCCATGGGAGTCATTTCCCATGGGAGACATTTCCTTTACACGGTATATCCTGTATTTGCAACCGCAAACGATTTCTAGTCATCATGGTGTTTAAACAGGGCTTTACTAAAAATACAACACAAAAGAATATGAAGCAAAACAAATCCATGACATCCATGAAAGGTATCACATCATACATGCATAAATTAAGCACTAAAGTTGTATATTGTTGAAGTAAATAGTAAGTTGTACATTAATGTTGTGGAACATTTTTGAATAGATGGCAAGGGTATCTTCTGTTCTCGATTAACACTGTCTGTTTGGCTGCTGTAGTGCAGCATCTATACTAGAAGTTCAGGCCAAAAGGAAATTGTCCTTTCTTTCATTGTCTATGTTTACTTGTCAGTTAATATAATCCTAACATATTTGTACTTTCAGATTTATGTCATTGACAGTGCAGACAAGAAGCGGTTTGAAGAGACGGGACTGGTGAGCTTGATGTCATTTCTGCATGCATACACATTCTGAATCATAACAAAACTAGGATACCTAAAGTTCATTATATTATAATAGATATTTAATGAGGTATGTTGTCACTAAACCGATTAAGCATCAGTGGGCTTATTTAAAAATAGTCCGGTAAAGGTGAAATAGGATGAAAATAATTATTAATAACTTTCTAGATATATCCGCATACAAGAATTACAGCTGTACAACATAATGTTAATTAGATATTAAGTCATTGTTATGTTTTAAAAAATAAAATAAAAATAAAGTCAATTGTGTGTGGATGTGCAGGAGTTGTCCGAGCTAATTGATGAGGAGAACCTAAAAGGCGTACCAGTCCTCATCTTTGCCAATAAGCAGGATCTGGCCACATCCTCACCGGCCAGTGAGGTCGCAGAGGGCCTCAACCTGCACACATACCGGGACCGGGAGTGGCAGATTCAGGCGTGCTCAGCTGTTTCTGGGGAGGGAGTTCAGGTCAGTCTTTATTGATTTATTTTCAGATGGATCCGAATGAATCATATAAAAGACTCTAGAGTCTAGACCCTACAAACTATCTATTTTATTTGCTTAATTACATGGTTTTGAGGCTTTATATCTTCAAATTAAGAAACTGATTTGGATGGTTTCATTTTATTTCCTCGACAGGATGGCATGAACTGGATTTGCAACAACATTGTGAATAGGAAGAAGTGAACCAACCTCATCAAACAGAGAAACAGCATCACATAAGGGATTAAAAAGACGACATCACTTCTTTCAATATCACCATACCCCACATATGGCAGGTCCTTCTCCCCTCACAGATTGAATGATTTTGTTTTTACAATTTGTGTCATTTTTATGAATGTTTTGCAAATGTAGCTCATTTAAAAAACATATTATAGCTGCAATATGTGAATTGGGCACTTATTGGGATTTGTTCTGTCCAAAAAATGTATGTTGTTCCCCCCCTTTCCCGAGGATCCTTGTCTGGTGAGTCTGTGTGCTTTCTGAAACACCAAGAAAACTAATCTGAGTGTGTAGCCATGTAGAACTGTTGGGGTTTGTCAGTTACATAGAAGTGAAGTGTGATCGTAAAGATTTTTGACAATAAAAAGATTTGTCATTTCTGCTATTTTCTTTTTCTTTTGCAATGTAGCAATCAAATGCACCATTAATGGTCAAATAATTATTTTAAAAACTGTCAGGGAAACGACAGAAAACATGCAAATGGGCTGTAAATGTCAACGTATCCCTGAGTGACAAGAGGAACAATAACAAGCTGTTATACTCCTGCTCAGCTGTCAACTTGCTCTTTCACACCGCCATGACGAGCACTTACAATGTACAGTGAGAGAGAGACTAATTGAAAAGCAAGAGCAGGAGAGAGGAGTGTTCACAATTATACACTTGTATGGCAGAACAAGATATCAAATCTTCAAGGCACAGCAGAGCAAACAGTGCAGGAAATTACACGCAGAGAGGCTGAGTAATTAGCATCAGAGACTTTTCTCGAAGTGTTTGTTTTGTATGTTAATTCTGTAAAGGTTACGTCGCATGCAGTGCCTCTTGCAGAAATGGTAGAGCTGTATGGGAAGTTGGCCATATGACACACATCTGATGTCCAGCTGTGAACACTTGGCTTGTTCTCGCAGCAGGAATACAAATGATCTGCTTTTTGTGAGCATTCTTTAGGTAAAATCCCTCTTCACCCTCCGTTCTGAGATCTGCAACAAAGATTTTGCTAATCATTGATTTCAGAAGAATTCCTACGTCTTTACCCGCTTATCATTCATCTCCTTTCAGAGTCAGAATCAGAAACAGGTTTGTTGCCAAATAGAAATTAGGAATTTGCCTTGGTGTACACGGTGCATACATAAACACAGCTAAAGAAGATAAAAAGTAAGAAAAACAACCAAAAAGTGTAGTAAAAACAATTGAAGCTATTATACATTAAGATATAGAAAATGATTTACATGGAATCTGGATATACAAAAAAACTATGTGCAGTATACTATTGCAAAGTACTTAGAATAATACAATAAAATAAAATATGTGCAGTATTGCCAAGGAAAATGTATGAGAGGAAGCTAAATGTGCACATTTGAGGGTTGTGCAGAACTGGCAATACTTAAATGAAATAAATAAAAACAAGAAATGGTTTGCATAGTGTGCATTAATGTAATGCATAGAATCTAGAGTGGCTGAAGTCTTGTGACAGTGGGGGTCCCGGGCCTTGTATTCCTGATGGACTGTAGCCTCCTGCCAGAGGGGAGTGGGTCAAACAGTTTGTGTCCAGGGTGGGAGGGGTCAACATTGGTGAGATACCCCCACACACTTGACAGCCCCCACAGCCCTGTGGTCCTCTCACTTATTTGTCCTTTATAATGACCTTGGTGTTTAGTCCTCTATTCAGCCATTTTGTCTCTACTCTGCAGTTGGATTTAATGGATCTTTTAGTTTCTATTGTCTGAAGCTTTAATCAACCATCTGAAAGCACTCAGAAATCACATCAACTCCCCAACATGAAATTATGCTAATGTTTATTTTTTCTCTTTTGTCTGGTATTTATGAGTGGTTTTGAAAAAAACAAAAACAGCTGAAGAAAAACATCAAGCTATCTCCATGGCAACTATAATTTGGTGCAAGTCCTAAAACATTTTTTAGTCATCAACTCCTTGTGAGCGAGCACAGCAGGGGTGCGGGACCAATTACAACGTGAACTAAAGGATCATTCTGGCAGTTTGAAAGGGACCAGACGGAACAGGAGCTGAGATCAGTCTGCTGTTCAGGGCTGCTTCTCTCACCAAGAGGGGGCAGTATGAGAGAGCCGGATGATCTGCAGCGCTGATGAGGAGGCTTCGCCCTTGACAAATTACAGTTTAGACACACTTTAATTTCATTGATTTTGCTCGGAAAAGCTCATCTTGAATCAAGAAGATCCTGCACAGTCACAGAAATATGTATCTCATAAATGATTTTTCCCCTGAGCTAGACTTTATGTGTACATATTGTAACTTTAGTTCTGTACATGTTTCAAACCAATTACTCATCTGTCGTCTGTTAAATCCTCCTAATATCTCCATTTGTACACTTACACATCCTCATATTATGTGATGTGATATGATGTCACTTCCAAGCAAGTGGCCCTTAAGCAGGTGTTGCCATGGCAACCCTCCCTGTCATTTGTGATCTGGCAGCCACTTCTCTTCTTTAGTCCAGCCCTCCCTCTCTTGTCCTCCATTTCTTTCATTTTCCCGAGCTCTGCTCATCAAAAGAAAACCTGCTCAGAGAGACTGGACCGCAACACATTCCAGGTACGAACAAAAAAACACCTCCGTGTTTGGCTGTCTTTAAAAAGCGTAATTAAGCTGGTGATTAGCAGCAGGTTAATTAAACATCTTGGGAAGTTGTGTTGCTTAGATGACTAACTTTTGTGTAACATGGCTTATTATTGTAGGGAGAATAGATAAAAAGTAATTATTTGTTATCCTTTTGTTCTCATCAGACGTTCTCCACAGGTTGATATATCAATCAATCAATCAATCAATCAATCAATGTTTATTTATATAGCCCAATATCACAAATGTTACATTTGTCTCAGTGGACTTCACAGTTTGTACAGAATATCAGTATGACAATACGACACCCTCTGTTCTTAGACCCTCACATCGTACAAGGAAAAACCTCCGGAGAAAACCCACAGTTTAAAAGGAAAAATGGGAGAAACCTCAGGGAGAGCAACAGAGGAGGGATCCCTCTCCCAGGACGGACAGACTTGCAATAGATGCCGTGTGTAAATTGAAAAAATAATACATTTGCAACATAGGTAGTCCAAATGTTTGGAAATGCATGTGTGTATAATAGGAAGATGAATCCACGAGAATATCCATCCAGGACTTATGATCCAGGACCACAGCCACGACTCAAGATCCAGGACTCGCGATCCATGACACAGGACCGCAGGATCATCCATGACTCTGGATCCCGGCGTATAAAGACACCAAAAAGAAAGAAATTTGGGGAAGCTGGGTTAATCGGAACATGAGAGTACACAGGTATAGACAGAGAGAAGGAAGAAGTAAGATGTCCCCCGACAAACTAAGCCTATATCAGCAAAACTAGGGGCTGAATCTAATCAGCCCTAACTAGTAAGCTTTATCAAAAAGGAGGTCTTAAGCGCACTCTTAAAAACGGATAGGGTGTCTGCCCGCCCGAACACAAACTGGAAGCTGATTCCACAAATGTGGAGCTTGGTAAGAAAAGGCTCTGGCTCCCATTGTACTTTTAGAGACTCGAGGAACAACCAACAACCCTGCATTCTTGGAACGCAATGCCCTAGTAGGACAGTAGGGTATAATGAGTTCTTTAAGGTAAGATGGCGCCTGCCCATTAAGAGCTTTGTAGGCGAGAAGAAGATTTTTAAATTGTATCCTGTGTTCTATAGGGAGCCAGTGTAAGGTAGCCAGAACAGGAGTAATGTGGTCCCTTTTCCTAACTCTGGTTAGTACACGAGCTGCAGTATTTTGAATCAGCTGAAGCGACTTGACTGACTTCTTGGTACACCCTGATAATAAGGAGTTACAATAATCCAGCCTTGAAGTAACAAATGCATGGACTAGTTTCTCTGCATCGTTTTGAGGCAAGATATACCTGATTTTTGCAATGTTACGTAGATGGAAGTAGGCGGTCCTTGAAATTGATTTTATGTGGGTGTTAAAGGATAAATCCTGATCAAATATAACACCAAGATTCCTGACAGTCTCACTGGAGGCCAAATTAATGCCATCCATAGTTAGTATATCTTTAGATAATTCGTTTGCTAGTTACTGCACAGTTGTCATGGTCTTGGCAGGCATGCTAACAGTAGCCACTCGTTAG